GCGTTATAGGCATGAATTCAGGACTATCTTCACGAAGAAAAATATAGTTTGTAAAAAAGTGTTAAACGAATTTCCTAGGAAAAATCATTCACAATAGAGAAAAAGAGCTTAGAATTTGTTTTCCAGTCCTCAATCCCTTCAAATGAGAGTACATGGTTCTTTGAGTTGTAGCAGTGCAACTTTAACAGTAAAGATCACTCTTTTCAAAGCGTAGGCATTAGCAAAGGTCTTTGCAATCATATATTTAGTAAGAAATTCAAATTCTAAACAAAAGCATCTATGTTGTTATTTTTTTTTAAAAAAAGGCTGATCTTTGAGCAATACTAATGTAGCGTGACATCGGGTTGGATCCAACAATCAAGAACTTTATGGGGTCATCTGTCTCTTCATTTTGTTTGTTGGTGAATTTGTCCCTGTCCCCATAATTTGAAGACAAATTTGTCTATTCAGCCTTGATGAAATTATATGCTAGGAAAGCATATGACTCAATTTTTTTTGGAAGTTTTTGCAGGAGATGCTGATTCACTTTGGCTTTCTGAAGTGTTTGAAGATGATAAGAGTTATGACCTGTATATTTGGAGCTCGGTTTTCATGGTGGCGGAGCTAGGGGGTCCTAAAGTCCTATGCCCCTAAGCTTTTGCAAGTGGTTAATTAGGTTTCAAATATTTTTATTTCTATTATTTTATCTTTAAATTGTTAATTTTTATACTATTTTAGTCATTTTTTGTTATTGAAGATTATTATTTGTGATGAAGAGAATGACCATAAAATAGAGATGAAATATTAAAAAAATTTAAGATTAATCTAATAAAAGAAATTGTTCATTATCATTTTTTATATAGGATTGAACAAGTAATTCAACTTGTGGAAAAGTTGACGAGGAAAGTTACACAGATTTAAATTCTTGCCGACAAAACCTTTCACATTAAGAGATTTAGCTAGTAGACCTAAAAGCCTTCCTCAAATGGTTCATTATCCTTCTTTTACCAAGTTTGTTGATTAATATCCTTTTACAATTTTACTTTCCTTATTTTGTTCATTAAAATCCTTTACTTAATTAGCATATATGATTGCTTTTGTCCTTCAATTTAGGGCATGTATACTAGTAACTTAATAAGTCTCTTTAGTTTATCCTTTAAAACTAACAAATTTTATTTGAGTTGGGGCGTAGAAAGATTTAGGAAAAAGGAGGGTTATTCTTTTTTGTATAGTCATTTAGATGTGCCAAAAAAAATTATTTAAAATAATTTTCTCAAAATTTTTCGCCACATCAGCATTCCAAGAAACAAAAAATGCATCATTTTTCTTTAATTAAAGTTTCATATTGCCCCCCCTTTTTTTTATTAGCTCCGCCAGTGTTTTCACTAGTTATTAATGGTGCTTTAGTGGGTCATTTTAAGGGTCGAAAAGGCCTGGGGAAAAAAACAGAAAATCATTGAAAAAAAGGTAGACCGGTCAACTTGATCCCTTTAATTGTAGTTTTCAATTTCAAAATGAGAAAATCTTTTCATAAAATTAACGATATGATCATAATAAAAAAAAAATGAAGAGATCAAAATGCAGGAAGGGACTTGGGATGCATCTTTTTACCTTTTTACCATCTTCAATGAGGACATGATTATCGCAAAGGCTGAGATAAAGTTCCTTCAAGGAAGAAACGGGCGGCAATGCGGGAACCAAATTCGGATAGTCATCAGCCAAACCTCGTCGGAACTGGCCACAGAGTTGAAGAAGGTCGAAACTAACGACAATCTACAGGCATCGCGAGGACTGGTTAAGGAGATAAGGGCGAAGCAAGAATCGGGAAGTGAGAAAAAATCCAGCATTCTTGTATCGCTTCCTTGACCGCTTGGATATGTACTCATCATTACCGGGCTGAAGTGTGGTATCTGAATGTTAGGAGGAGATCAGAGTTTCACAAGGTTTGGTTGACTAAAGAGTAAAGTCAGTTAATCTGGACATTACCCATATTAGCACATAGGCCTCTAAATTAATTTTTTTAGGCATATAAGCCTCTAAAAGGTATGATTGATGCATATTAGTCCCCCGGTTACAGTGTTTTAATGTTATAATTACAATAGTATGTGAGATTGTAAATTTACAATTATAACTTCTTATTAAATCAATAGATATATACAACATCACATGTAGACTTCTGAATGAAAATAATTAATTATATAATAATATATCATATTATAAATTTACAAAATTATAGTATTATAACCATATCATTCTTAACTCTTTTTTTTTCTAAATTGACCTTAATTTTTGGAAAATGATCGATAGACAACACTTTTTTACAACGTTTTTATATAATCACATATTATTAAATGATTGGTTATTTTCATTCTATTGAGATCTGTAATATTATATATATTTATTTACTTAATGATATATTAAAGTTGTACAAAAAATTATACAAAAAAATTGTCTCTCATATCATCACCCTTAATTTTTCCATGTTAGCATATTTAATTAAATTTAAAGCTAACTTAATTGAGGCATGATGACACGCCAAATTTATGTTAACAAGACTTAAAAGAGTTAAAAATTTACTTTAGAGATTAAAATGGAAATTTTTTCAATTGAAGGATTAAAACAATTTTACATAAAAGTTGAGGGACCAACAAAGCATTTTAACCTACAGATCAAGAACAAATTGCTATGGTATTGCTTGGCTGGCGTGGTGGTTGACAATCTTTGGGCTGGGACTCTGGGAGAAAACAGATTTGATTTATTGGTCTGATTTAAAGGGTTGGGCCTATAATACGCGGCCCTGGGCCGATATTTATTAATGAGCATTTTTGTGCCTTCAATTTTACGACAGATATGCCGCTAAGGTGCTGCTTTGTGAAGGTTTTTGGACGGTGATGCGAGGGTTGTGGATGTGAAAATACATGGACATATATATATGGTGTGGTGTGAACCTAAAACTAATTAACAATTAGTGGAGTAGCTAGTTTGTTTTATTTGTAATGTGCTTGTTGGATCTGGTACTTGGAGTTTAATGTAAAGAACTTTTTTTCTTGGTTAGGAGTGTCTTTGTACTTTGGATTAATAATATTTTTTGTCTATAAAAAGATAGATAGAGTAATTTTTTTTTATTATTCAACTCATATATTTCTTTATTAATTTTTCAATGTAAAATTCTCATTTAAGACCCCTTTTTCTTGTGCATGCTTGATATGAATTTCAAGTCATGTCACAACATCTCAAGTTTTCAAAAAACGAAATTTGAGCTTGGTATATGAACCAAAATACAATATGAAATTCGAACACAAAATCTATTAGTATTTTTTAATATTTCAATTTGGGTTCCCATTAACGTGGATGCCTGGGGGCTGGGATCACAACAAGCGATGCTTGAAGCGATTTTCACGAGAGTTTATGGGGGATGGGCGCCTGCGACCTTGGTTTTATGGGGAGATGCTGAACGGGGCAGCAGGTTAGTTTGTGAAAGTTTTGCATCTTGGGCTGGGCTTCTTTACGTGCCTTGGGTTTAGAAGCCGAAACTAAGAAACCCATAACTTAAAAGTCCATTTTTTTATTTTTTTATTTTTTTTGTTTTTTTAATATAAGTAAAGGAGGAGGTGAATCGGAGCATAACCAAAAGTGCTCTCCAACCCTTATACCTCATACACGTCTCGAACTTACATAGCTGAGGGAAAAGGCCTAGGTCACTATATTTAAATGGAGATTTCTCGAACTTCCCCATAACTTTTGGTTAGGTTTTGGCTGAGGTTATTTAATGTTTAGACTTTCTTTTCTTTTTCTTTTTTTTTTTTTTTTGGTTTTTCCCTTAGGAATTAGAAGTTTAGGTTAGGGTGTCTTTGGTTCTAGGTTGTCCTGGTATATTAGGTATCTTTGGCTTAGTATAGTTGTAGTTTTTTATTTTTTTGCTATAGTTTTTATAAATCTTATAATTTTAAACCAAGAACTCATTTCCTTTCATATATTTTTGTAATATATTATCATAATTATTGAAAAATAAGAACAAAATTAGTTTTAAAAAAAATTTATCAATCAGACATGTAAAAATTATGTAAAAAATATTATAAAGCTATATCCTTTAATAAACTTTCATTAAAAAGATTAAAATAGTATATTTCTAAAGTAAGAATGATATTGTTTTAATTTTTTGTGATGTTTTATTGAAATAATATAATTTTAAAATGTTTTTTCACTTAATTTTTTACATTTCAATTAATAAACACTAATCTCATTAGTTTTTAATGCTATTAAATAAATTTCTATTTTTTCTCATCGATGGTAAAACTCATCTTAAATCAATTGTTAGTTTTATTCTTAACATTAAAATTGAATAAAATAAAAGGTTAATATAAAAATGGGAAAAGAGAGCAATCATACTTATATTTTATCCCTAATTATTTTATGGAAAAATTCGTCTTAACAATTTAAAATTTCTAATATGCTAATAGTTTGTTGTAAAAAACTATTTTAGGGAATTTTTTTAATCCACTAACAGATTAGACTTTAACTGCTAATCACTTTTATCAAATTGCTAAATAAAAAAATTTATCAAACACCAAATACTTACTAGTTGTTGAAAAAAAAAAAAAAACAAACACAATTATATTGCAATTTCAACAAAATCTCTAATCACTAATTTTAAATTACTATACCAAACAACACCTAATGGTTAAGGGTTAACTATTTTTTTTCCTCCTATAACTCATTTTAAGAAAATTGATAAAAAAACCTTGGTTTTCATGATGTGCAAAGATCGAATAAAGGCATTTGCGAAGATTGTTGCCTAAATAAAAAAAAAAAAGCATTATAAAAAAGTAGTGCAAACATTTTTGGGTATCCAAAGCTGTCCTAAAATCTCAAGGAGTAAGGTTGCATCACACAGATCACTTTGGACTGACAAGCCGTCAATGGACAACAATTAGCATCTCTAAAAGGGGTAAATTAATATTATACGTTGATCTCGGAAGATTGGAACCCAAGTATGGAATCACATGTACTTTGTCTTAGTCTCATGCTTGTTTTCTTCTTTAAACCTAAGTACCTGGATCTGGAATAAATGAATTCTTTCAAAGCAAAGGTGATCACTTTGTTTCTTTTGAATTATTATTTTGTTCTAATTCACTAATATTTTCCCTTGGCAATAATGTAGAGATAATTTTTTTGTATAATTTTTATGCAATTTTTACATGTTATTAAATAAGTGAATGCATTCAATATTAAAAACAAGACGGATTTAGGAAATTTAGTTAGGGGAGGTGAAAATTAGTGTTGAAGATTTGAGTATTCAAGAGAATCTTTTATGATATTTTTATTTTAAATATTTTTTTTTCTTATAAATAGATTTACTTATGGTAGTCTTTTTTTATTGATATATTATTAACAAAATTAAAAATAAATATATTTATTATAAAAAAAATCACAATAATAAATCATGCAATGATCAATGGAAGAATGAATAAAAAAAGATAAATGTGTTTGTTAATCGAATCTCTAAAAAATAGGAGGAAAAACACCACATAATTACATCATTTTAATAAAGTCACATTGAAAAAAACACAAAAACAACATATTCTTAAAGTAAGAATGAGAGCGTTTTGATTTTATTAAAATAATGTAAATTTATGATGTTTTCCTCCTAATTTTTTGGAAATCATGTTGATAAACACTAATATTACAAAAAAAAAAGATTATAAATTTAATCATTAAAGGTAAAAAAATATCCTGATGCGATTAAAAAATTTTAAATTATTATATAGAATATTAAGAAAGAAAATAAAAGAATACTAAAGAAAATTATGAATTTGAAGTTGTTTAAATAAAGAATCAAAGTTTCTTTTTTTGGGCTTAATAGTTGAGGAAATGTTTAAAAACCCCAGTTCCTAATTAATTAAATTGAGAGAAAGTTCATTTTATTTAAATCATATCCTTATTTTTTTTAAAACTCTTTATTTAGGTTCTAAATAGTTTCTCTACATTTGAAATAGTTCTTGAAATTAATACCATAAAAACAAAATTCTTAACAAATAAAAGTCAGAGTATTATATTAAATAATTTTCGAAAGTTTTAGGGAGGTGGCTGCCCCCTTTTCCTTCGTTGGCTCTAAATCATAAGTTTCAAATAAATATAAAGAGTTAATTATTTAAATAACACGTAAAATTGTAAAAAAAATAATATAAAAAAATTACCTTTGAATCATTTTCCTATTTTGCCCCTTTTTATGCCTTATCTGTCTCTCCTCCTTTTTTTTTTTTTCGACCCTTATCGATGTCTTTTTAAACTTTTATGCAAAACCTGTTATAGAAAAACTTGACCACTGTATTTCTTTTTTTTTTTTTTTTTTTTCAGTTGTGTTTTCTAATCTTTGTCTCTTCTTTAGACCTTTATCAAGCCTGTAATTTTGGTTGACGTGTTGTTTAGGTAAAGCATGGAATTTAACCACTTTATTCTTGTCAATCCGCTTGTACGCTTTGAAACTTCATGATTAGGTGTGGGTATTCAGCTGTTCTTTCCGCAAAGTATTGTTTTGTTTTGTTCATTATTGTTTTAAATTCATAGATACTTTCTTTCTGTTTGCTATACCTTTTATCATGTTTGTTGGCTTTCATTAGCCTATTTCTTTAGGTAGAGCAGGCAGTTACATGAACGTACACATCATTCTTTACAACCAGCTTAAGCTTTAAATATGAATGGGACTTTGACCTTTGTGTTCACGTGATTCTTTGAGCAAATCATATAAAACTTTATTCTTTCTCACTTTGTTCTTGAAGTACATCAGCTTAAGACTCTTGATTGTCAATTTAAGCTTTTAGCTTAAGTAATTGTTAATAACAAAAAAAAATTATTCGTAACTTGATGCTCTTGCATTATGTTGTTCAATATTGACAGCACTACTTTTGCCACTACTGTAGGAATGGGATTTTCGAACCGAAATATCGGTCCGAATATATAGGAAATCGGTCT